ACTGTTCTATTTTCAAACAGTCCGGTACCATGTCATGCCAATACCAAACAATGCCTTGAGGAGAACATGTTGAACAAGTTACTGAATTTTCAAACCATGTCATCTAAAAAATCACAAAATTATCAATTTTCATATTACATAGTTACTGAATTTCATATAAACTATAATAGTACAAAACATAAATAACAAAACATTCACGATCACCACTCTCTGGAGACTTAAGGAGCACATGTTGAACAAGAAAGACTTGAGAAGCGCAGGGATTTGGTTATTGGTTGAACACTGTCGAACACTCAAACAATAAAACAAATTGGGTTGTGCTTCACCACTATAAAGTCTCCCTTAATGGTAATATGGTATACATGTATATATATAATTATAAAATTATATAAATTAATAAAATTATAATTCAGTCCGGTTCGGTCCGATACCGCTTCTCATTTTATGAGAACCGGTCATGGCATGGTTTGGAACTGGTACGGTCCGGTTCGGGACAAAACTTTTGAGAACCATTTCAAACTCCGTTTTCCGGTCCGATACCATACTGGTCCGGATCGGTACCATGCCGGTTCGGTCATTTTGCCCACCCATAATAAAATCAAGAAAAAATTAAATGAAGTTATTTCAACAGCCTTTTATAGTAAATTCAACTAATTTGGTAAAAAAAATTCAAAATTTACTTATTTTAATTATCACACAATACAACATGCGAAGTAAAATATTACATGTTTGATAAAAAACTAGCTTATAAGACTGCTAAACATAAAATAAAAGTGATCAAACAAGTCGTTAGATTATAGCTCAATCCTTTGGGGACTTCGAGATGGTGCATCTTTTTAAATCGAGATTTCAGAAAGGACATACGAAATAATGACAAAAATATAACATAATGACTACTATAGTAATTTAAGTGATCATAATTATACTTTGAAATAATGGCATAGATATGACTCCTAGAGTTATTGTAGACAAAAATATGAGTGGTTTGTGATTTTACAGAAAAGTGAGAAAGAAGAGCCGCACATCTACGCATACTCTGTCCAAATCCCTCCATATCCCTACCTCACGGCACACCTCTGTCTCATGAACGAAGAGTTGCTGTTCATCTCCCTACCTCACAGCACAACTCCGTCTCGCCTCCACAGCCAGCAATGACGGCCGCTCCGCCTCCTGTCTCCATCGACTGTCACTACGTCGCCTCCTCCGCCTACTTCCGCGTCGCGTCCGCCAGCTGCCAGGGTTGCGGCCGTGGCAATTCCGCTGACGTCACTGCCAGGTCCAAAATTTCGTCCCACACTGCCATTGCAGGTCAGCACCTCCGCCCTGCACCATCATCACAGCTCCGCCGTTCAGTTTCTTTTTTCATCCCTTTCTGTCCTCGTTTTGGGATCTGGATCTTGAAACTCACATGGCGGTTGGGCTGATCCAGATCTAGAAGGTCGTGTGGCGGCTAGGGTTTGGCCTAGGTGTTAGTATATATGTCCTAGCGACAATCACTTTTTAGAGATATATGTACTTGATCACATTCAGTTTTTTATATTTGATATATACACGGTATTACACTTTATGAATGATTGTTTTCGATTGTCAATGTTTTATTCATAATTGTGTTCCCTTGGATTTATGTTATCAATTAGTAAGTGAGAGCTTATATGATACAACATAAGGTCCTAAAATAGCCTCAATCAATGATCATCAAGAATGGGATATTGATGATATGAGATAAGATTGGTATGTGGACTGCATCATACTTTTAGAAAGTATAGTTGATCTCACGACTATGAGTTCCTGTAATTCATGATGGTCACATAGATATTTTAGAGAATATTGGCATACCCACCGAGAAACCATTTGATAAGTTCTATTCATGTGTCTATGGGATTATCGGCGTATAGAGTAGTGTAATAGTCCTCCGACTTGAGGTCAATACGTACTACATGTGCGGAGTGATGTACTTTGACCATGACCAACGCTTGCACTCCAATCGGGGTAGATACGGCATGTGTTGGGTGCATCACGAAGCACATGGAGTAGTAGTTGAGCCAAGAAAGGATTCATTCCTCATAATAGATTAAGAGAGAACATTCTACTTCTCATATCTAGATGGATCATAAAGTCATTGGCCAATGCAAAGATATATTCGTTTTGGATATCGAATATGATCGTTATGGATCATCTAGAAAGATTGAGAGACAGAGACTGAGTTATTAGGATAGACACTATATCATGTTCTAAACTTAGTTGAATGTTCGCTGAATGAAAGGACCGTATCACTATGAGCTCTATATTACAGGGAGTTTGTATAGTCCTCGCAAACGTCCTTATATATTAGGTTTGTCTGGAGAATCGTCTAGGGATTCGCTAAGACCTTAATTTGATTAGTGCTTAATATATAAGGCCCTATGGGTCACACAACAAGTGATTATACCTTCCGATTGAATTGTTAGAAGGAATTAAATATTATTAATTGGATTAAATAATATTTAATTCGTAATACTGAAAATGAATTAAATATTAATTAGATTAAACATATTTAATTCATGAAGCTGAAGGAGAGTTCTATTTGATAGAATTAATTAAGTAAGATAAATTAGATTTATCATACTTAAATAAGATGTATTTATTATTAAATAAAGTAGATATTTTCTTTTGTAATTTGGAATTAAAAGAAAAGTAAATAAAATAAATATTAATATATAATAATTAGAAAGTGGCGTGCAGCCACATTTCAATTATTATTATTATTATTATTATTATTATTTTGTTTTATCTACTTATTTAATTAATTAGGAGTATTGGTCCTAGTAGGATTAGAACTCATTAATTAGAAAGACTTTCATTGTGATTGGAAAACTAGTTTAGAACTAGTATAAATATACCATCCTCCTTCATAATTTATAGACCAGTTTTTAGATTCAGTATTACCAGTTTATTTCCCCGCAAAGAGATTTCCTAGCCTTTCTCTTAGGGAGATCTAACCGTTCTTTCGGAGAGGAGAAATCACGTGGATACCTAAGGTCAAGGATTATCACCGCTAGGCTGGAAGATTTGTAAGTTCTAATTCAGATCTGTTATTATTGTCATATTCGTTGTTTTGTCATAATCAGGAAAGATCTGTTTGAGAAAATTTTAAACTTCCGCTGCTGTACTTTCGAGGTACGTTACATCAATTTCCTAACAGTGGTATCAGAGCCAAACTGATTTTAATGACATTGTACGAATTATGACATACAATTTTGTGGGTCAAAATATTTGATTTTTCCAGAATATTGTTGCACCGTATTTTAATTTTTGAAGTTGAATAAGAATTGGTGTGGAAACCAATTTGAAATCTACGTTGATTTACCAACACTTAATTTTAGAAATTGGAATGCAGTATGAGAACCGACTTTTTATTCTTCTTTTTGCTTCTGGTTTACTTGCGTTCTATCGATAATTATCGCCTGGGTTATTATGCACTTTACGAGCACCGCAACTAAAAGATCTTGTTCGTTCCTTGACGATGTTGCACTATGGCGGACGAGTGCCAATTGAAAACGACTCCGGCCGGTAGATTCTGCATAGCGACGGAGACAACCTATGGCGGACGAACATGGCGACCGGCGAAGATGGCGCTGGAAATCAACGATGAACCTGCTAAGAAGGCGATCTGTTTTTTCCTTTTTCTTCGTATGATTTGCTGTTTTTTGGAAGCGGTGAAATCTGCGATTTTTATGCTGCTGCCCTGTTTTAGAAATTTGTTCAAAGATTGTTTTCAGAAATTGGATTAATTTTTAGTACGTATTTGCAATTTCCTAGAATTCTAAAACAGCTTTGGTCGGTAACCTCGATTTACTCGAACTGAAACTCATAGTTGTGTTAGAATTTGGAGATTGTTTTTGTTATTATACTTCGTATAACAATAATTGTTTTAAATTGACCCCTTTAGTTAGATTAAGTATCTTTGAGATTACGATGGTCAATTTTTAATTTAAATCTTAATTGTGATACTTTATTTTAAGCATGCTTAATTAGTTGTTTGATAATTGTATTATTTGGCTAATTGTACGTTTGACTATTATGTCTCTTTATAAATTAGATTTATATTGCATGCTTGAATTTATCTGTTTGAGTAAGATCTCATTAACATATTATTTGATAATATGTTTTAGCATCTTGATTAAGTAATTTAATACCCCGCTAAATGTTCCCCATAAATTAAATTTAAGTCTTATCTAGGATAACGACATCACCCATCATAATTAAATTAGTAGAAATATTTTTTCGTTGAAGAATATTTCACCCAAGTGTTTATTCTATTCGACAAAATATAGAACTAATTTATAGATACATATGTTTGTGATCGTGTGATGGTTTTGACTTACTTAAATTAGCTCGAGTCGCCCAAGCGTCAGTGTTAATTTAAGGATGTCGATCTATTTAAAAATTGATCAACCAAGAATTGTTTGGACGCAATTGGTCTAGGGACCTACCCATTATATTATTGCGGTGATCAACCCAAGCTGGGACTGTAATAGTATGAATGTGGATCTTGGCCACTATGATTGTAAAACATTCCATGTTCTTTTTATTGGGGTCAAAGAGCATGTAAAAATAGTTGGAGCTAAATAATTAAAAGTCCATATTATTTAGTTAACTAGATGTGATCATAGGAATTAGTATATGATTTTAATTCTGTTCTATTTGAACTTCTTTAGGCTTTTAGGAATGTCGAATTTATCATTGAGAAGTATCCTGGATACGTGCAAGCTTACTGGACCAAACTTTCTAGACTGGGAAAGAAATGTGCGTTTAGTTCTTAGACAAGAAAATATTGAGTATGTGTTAGACACACCGGTACCCAAGATTCCTGATGCCAACTCTCCTGAGTTTGCCACGTTTGACCTGACTGCTCGAGAGAAACACGTCACTGATGCTAAAACTGTGCAATGTGTTATGTTGGCTGCAATGTCTATGGAGTTGCAAAGGCAACACGATAGGATGAGCGCCTTCGAGATGCTTGAACACTTGAAAAGTCTGTTTGATTCAGAAAGTCAGACTCTAGAGTATGAACTTCTGACAGACATTTTCAAGTGTAGGCTTCAAGAGGGTGGCAACGTGTCTGAGCACGTCCTCAAAATGATTGGCTTAATTGAAAGAGTTGCTACCACCGGAATTAAGTTTGAGGATCGTGTCTCAGCTGCTATCATCCTATATTCGCTTCCGAGTTCATTTACTAACTTCATTGTGAATTATAAATTGAACAAAACGAAAGCGACCATGCCTGAACTCCATAACATGCTCAAGTCTTATGAAGTCTCAACCTCTAAAGGAAAGACTGTTCTTATGGTAAGCTCTAATGCTAAGTCTCGTTCTAAGAACAAGAATAAGCAAAAGAAGAAAGGTAAGGTTGGACCTACTCCTACAGCTCTGAAGCCTAAAGGTGGAGGTCATATGAAGCCAAAGGTTGCAAAGGATGTTTGCCTCTACTGCAAAGAGATGGGGCATTGGAAGAGAGATTGTGAGCTGTATAAGGCTAATCTAGCCAAAGCACCGGGTGCTTCAAGCTCAGGTATTTTTATCATTAAATAAATATGTATATAACTAACTCTCATTGTTAAAGTATTAGATACAACTTATGGCTTACACATTTGTAAAAAATGTGCAGAAGCCTGAGAAGCAGTGTAACAGTTGGACTGGGTAAAATTGACCTACGCGTGAAGGCTGGAGCAAAAGATGCTGCTGAACGTGATAGGATCTTATAGTTTAGATTTGCCCAGTGGTTTTAGATTAGAATTAAATAATTGTTATTTTATTCCTTCTATTACCAAGAAGATTATTTCCATTCAAATGTTAGACATTAAAAGATTTCTGTTTCCATTTTGATAATAATAATTGTTATTTTCGTAAAATGGTGTTGTTGTGGAAATGCTTTTCTTATGAATGGTTAATTATCAATCGACATATTAGATATTAAATGAATAAAATAAAAGGATCTCGATTAAGTAATCAGAAAAATTACTACCTATCTATGACATTGCAAACTTGGTCAAATTAATGAAACAAGAATAGCAACGTTAAATAAATTAGATTATTTAACACCATTTGCTTTTGAGTCATATGGAAATTGTGAATCTTGTCTTTCAAGTAACTTGACTAATAAACCTTTTCTAGGAAAAAGGACAGCAAGCCAAAGAGTACTTAAGTAAAATTTCTGATTTATTTAAAAGGTCAAAGAATTCGGTCATAATGAACTCTTCTAGAACACCTTAGAAGTCTGGTGTTTCTGCAAGGAGAAATAGGGCTCTGTTAGACATGGCTAGATCTATGATGAATTCATTTTCTCTTCCAAACATTCTTTTGAGGGTACACGCTATAAATCTCAATATGCATTCTGAATAGTTTGATTAGTGAAAAACGTACTATATGAGTTATAGTATAAGAAAAACACACTTTTCTCACACATTAAATATGGGTTGCCCTACATATGTAAAGAAATGTGCACTAATCAAATTGAAAGGTGAAGTAACATATGAAATGAAGATTCGTTAGATGGTCTAACGAAGGATTCAGTGGGATAATTAAGTTGAAGAATGTCTCTAGGAGGATATCCTTCAGCTAGTGGGAGTAATATAGGAAGCGCTTCGCACCAGCAAGTGATTCTTATGAAGAAAGTAATGGCATGGTTGTCATTCCTTCTGCACCTAACTCTCCCTCTATGAGTATAGCACCAGAGAACTCTCTTAGCATTGGATAGTCTAATAAAAGAGAACCTCTTCACGATCAGAATGAAGAGCCTGAACAAAATGCAAAACATTCAATTCTGTGGGTCTACTAGGATTCGTCATGAACTAACTAGGTTTGGCTTCCTCATGGAGGATCATGATAATGTTAAGATTCCTGATACGGATGAACCTGAGACCCACATAAAAGCAATATTAGATGTTGATTCATAGAGGTGGCGAGAGGGCACGAAATCTAGAATGGACTTGATGTATATCAATCAAGTATGGAACTTGGTTGACTTGTCTGTTGGGTTAGACCCATTGGATGCAAAGGATTTTTCAGAAGAAAATTGATGCTGAAGGTAAGGTGCAAGCCTAAAAAGCTAGGCTAGTGGCTAAAGATTATAGTCAAAGAGAAGGAATTGACTATAGTGATACCTATTTGCCAGTTGCAAAACTCAAGTCCATTCGGATTTTGCTTGTGATAGCTGCATAGTATGATTATGAGATTTGACAAATGGATGTCAAAACCCACTTCCTTAATGGAAACCTCAAGGAGGAGGTGTACATGGTACAACCTGAAGGTTTTTGCATCCATGTCAAATTCTAAATCATTATGTTAATTAGAGAAATCTATTTATGGGCTAAAACAAGTCTCTAGGAGTTGAAATATTAATTTTGATGAAATAGTCAAATCGTTTGACCTCATCAAATGAAATGAGAGTGCTTGCGTGTTTAGAGTGCGCAACAAGGATAGAGTGGTCTTTATAATCATATATGTTGATAATAGAGAATGATATCACCTCATTGAAGTCCGTGAATGAATGGTCACCCAAAATCTTTATGAATATCTTTTTGTCTATGGTAGACAGAAAGAACTAGTAGAATTTAATTATTCTAGCACTAGTTTCATGTATGATAAGAAAGATTGCGAGTCACAGTCAGTATATGTTTTTAGTCTCAATGTAATAGTAGTGCTGAAAGAGTTGCAAGTAAGAAACTACTATAAATTCGACAACTAGAGCCTAGTAAATTGTTGCATTTGATGCAACATAGGTAAGTGTTTAGATACGTTAGTTCCTTAAAGAAATAGGGGTAGTTCCTGGCGACAGTTATCCAATAATTGTTATTGTGACTGTACCGGTATATTTGCGCAAGCTAAGGAACCAAGATGCAAAGTAAGGAACTAGAAAATACCAGTATGCTATCATGTTTTGAAACAAATAGCAAGATGAGAAGTTGCAATAGAACGCATTCCCGTAGAGGACAATTTGGCTGGCACATTCACCAAACCTTTGAGATGTGAGAAACACACTAGACTTTTGAGAGTCTAGGTGTTAGACACATCGGTGATTGGCACTAGGCCAAGTGGGAGATTGTTAGTATATATGTCCTAGCGACAATCACTTTTTAGAGATATATGTACTTGATCACATTCAGTTTTTTTATATTTGATATACACACGGTATTACACTTTATGAATGATTGTTTTCGATTGTCAATGTTTTATTCATAATTGTGTTCCCTTGGATTTATGTTATCAATTAGTAAGTGGGAGCTTATATGATACAACATAAGGTCCTAAAATAGCCCCAATCAATGATCATCAAGAATGGGATATTGATGATATGAGATAAGATTGGTATGTGGACTGCATCATACTTTTAGAAAGTATAGTTGATCTCACGACTATGAGTTCCTGTAATTCATGATGGTCACATAGATATTTTAGAGAATATTGGCATACCCACCGAGAAACCATTTGATAAGTTCTATTCATGTGTCTATGAGATTATCGGCGTATAGAGTAGTGTAATAGTCCTCCGACTTGAGGTCAATACGTACTACATGTGCGGAGTGATGTACTTTGACCATGACCAACGCTTGCACTCCAATCGGGGTAGATACGGCATGTGTTGGGTGCATCACGAAGCACATGGAGTAGTAGTTGAGCCAAGAAAGGATTCATTCCTCATAATAGATTAAGAGAGAACATTCTACTTCTCATATCTAGATGGATCATAAAGTCATTGGCCAATGCAAAGATATATTCGTTTTGGATATCGAATATGATCGTTATGGATCATCTAGAAAGATTGAGAGACAGAGACTGAGTTATTAGGATAGACACTATATCATGTTCTAAACTTAGTTGAATGTTCGCTGAATGAAAGGACCGTATCACTATGAGCTCTATATTACAGGGAGTTTGTATAGTCCTCGCAAACGTCCTTATATATTAGGTTTGTCTGGAGAATCGTCTAGGGATTCGCTAAGACCTTAATTTGATTAGTGCTTAATATATAAGGCCCTATGGGTCACACAACAAGTGATTATACCTTCCGATTGAATTGTTAGAAGGAATTAAATATTATTAATTGGATTAAATAATATTTAATTCGTAATACTGAAAATGAATTAAATATTAATTAGATTAAACATATTTAATTCATGAAGCTGAAGGAGAGTTCTATTTGATAGAATTAATTAAGTAAGATAAATTAGATTTATCATACTTAAATAAGATGTATTTATTATTAAATAAAGTAGATATTTTCTTTTGTAATTTGGAATTAAAAGAAAAGTAAATAAAATAAATATTAATATATAATAATTAGAAAGTGGCGTGCAGCCACATTTCAATTATTATTATTATTATTATTTTTTGTTTTATCTACTTATTTAATTAATTAGGAGTATTGGTCCTAGTAGGATTAGAACTCATTAATTAGAAAGACTTTCATTGTGATTGGAAAACTAGTTTAGAACTAGTATAAATATACCATCCTCCTTCATAATTTATAGACCAGTTTTTAGATTCAGTATTACCAGTTTATTTCCCCGCAAAGAGATTTCCTAGCCTTTCTCTTAGGGAGATCTAACCGTTCTTTCGGAGAGGAGAAATCACGTGGATACCTAAGGTCAAGGATTATCACCGCTAGGCTGGAAGATTTGTAAGTTCTAATTCAGATCTGTTATTATTGTCATATTCGTTGTTTTGTCATAATCAGGAAAGATCTGTTTGAGAAAATTTTAAACTTCCGCTGCTGTACTTTCGAGGTACGTTACATCAATTTCCTAACACTAGGTAGGTCAGGGATGGTGGCAGCTTGGGTGGGTCATGGCTGGGATCTGGTGGGTGGGTGGTGGAGTCGGCCAAGGGGTTGCTGGTCACTGGACTGGCGTTGGGGTAGGCGTAGGGGTGATGACCGCGGTGGCTGGGCGGTGTTGGGGCAGGTCAATTGTGGCGGGGTGCTATGTGGCGGGATTGGCGGTGGAGGGGGCTGTGAAGCTGTGAGGGGGCCGGGGGTGCAGGGGGAGGAGGGCTGGGGTGCAGGGAAAGGGGCAAGAGAGGGGGCTGGGAAGCAGGGGAGTGTGTTGGACGTTTGTGGCGGTTTTGAGGCGCCAAGGTGATGGTTTCCGACGAAATTTTTGATGGGCAAAAGTCACCGGAAAATTTTCCGTCAAAATAGTGATACATTTTTCGTTATAGTGATATCTAAAAGTGAGACGAAAACCGTTATTGACATTGCAAAAGTGACATAAAAATATGATAGTGACATATAATAGTGACATAAAAATCCGACAGTGACATAAAAAATGACAGTGACATCATAATTTTCCAAATATGTGACCTTAGTCAAATTTTTGGCCTTTTATAAAAATAGTCACATTTTTGGAAATTAGCTTCAAGTTAGTAATATTCAAGGAAAAAGCCCCTATACTTTACTATTTTAATGATCAAGGGTGGAAGTGGAGCGGTGGCCAACCGAGCCCCGGCCCAGCCCAAAGTTTAAATTTGCTTATATTTTAAATGTAAACATTTATGTGTGAAAATTTAACTGTAAATTTTTTTTGTATCGGCCCACTCAAACTCTTACTCCTGATTATGCCCCTATTAGTAATCAAACTTTACCTCTACCCACAGTTGCAAATTTGTAACGCTGACTCTAGTAGCACTCGTATAGGTCCACATCCGTTATGGTGCAGACGGCCCACTTTATTTGAAACCCCATGCGAAAGGGAAGAAGTAAGAAGGTGATCTCAATGTTTCTAATCTGAATTTTTAAGATTTGATCTCATTTGATCTGAATCTTTCTGATCCGATCTGATCTGATTTGAATCTGTCTGA